TAATTTGTGCGTTGAGAGCGACTGTAGATTTTTTTCACATTGGCTATAATGTATCTTAAATATACCTTTGTGGGATGTTTTGTTTTGTTTTAAGGCAAGATCAAGGCTGGAATTAAGGGAGAAATCTACCAAGGAAGATGCTGAGGATGTAATAGAAATAATGAAATATAGGTAATACACACTGCTTTAAAAATAAAGCATCATAGTGCTATTAATTCAAAACTATTTTTTTTAATTACAGATATGCAAACACATTGAAGAAATTGCATTACTGAGTTTAGGCTCATGATACTAATATTCAGATTCGTTACCTCTTTAAAAACTGACAGTAGCCCTAAGTTGAATACTTTGGCTTAGGCCTTTGAGTTGTATCATCATAGCAGTTATGTGTATCTGCACAGTAACTTAGACACAAAGTGCTACCAAAAGTTTGGGGGGTTTGTTGTTTGTGGTTTTTTTTGTTGTTTTTTTTTTTGTTGTTGTTATGTGATTACTCTCTGGTACAGTTGAACAATTCAAGTAATTTGGATAGATGCTTAGTCTAAATTCCTTAGATAGGAAGCCATTCCCTAGTATGAAAATCGCTATGTGGCTTCTGAAAGCTTTCTCAAGCAGTTATGTTTCAGGAAGCAAATTCATGTACTTACTTTTACCTCCTCTTGGTCTTTTTTTATATATATTTAGCATGCTGGGAACCTACTCTGATGAGTTTGGAAAACTGGACTTTGAACGTTCACAGCATGGGTCTGGGATGAGCAATCGGTCACAAGCAAAAAGATTTGTTTCTGCCCTTAACAGTATCGCAGAGAGAACTTACAACAATCTCTTTGACTTGCAACAGCTTCGACAAATTGCAAAGGAGCTACAACTACGAGTAAGTTTGGAAATCAAGCATTTCTTCAACAACGAACTGCAAGACCAATCAAAATTATTTATTGCAAAATGGAAACTGGGAAAGGCACATGTTGTGCCTTTATGCTGAACAGAAATAAGCAGCTTTTGCTGATTTTAGGCTGAACACTCTTCCCGTAGAGCTTTTGTTTGTAAGCTTTATGAATCTTACTAGCTGTTTGACAGTAGCAACTCCTTGCACTAGTAAGGGTTGGTTCTATTTCTGAAGCTGGTGCTGAAAAAGAATTCTGCTTTGTTTCATGAAAGGCAATTTTGGTTTCAGTAAAATTTGCTTCCTCTGGCTTCCTGGGGGACACACCTATTTTAATTCCCACATTTAGACTGTTACACTGTCTATTTTGTTCTATTTTGGCAGCGCAGTGATGTTTCTGCTTGGCTTTCTTTGGCCCAAATATGCCTTTAGGGTTCTCATTCCTGCTTCAAGCATCCTAATACTCTAACCTGATAGGAACATCATGTAGGACAGACGGCCACAAATGTGTGTTATCTTGTAATTGATTTGCATTCTGTACTTGTGGGGGGACTTCAGCCAAATAAAAATATCAGTAGTTAATTCTACTTTTTGCTTCATGATGAAAAAATTTAAATGGCAATTTAAAACAAGACTGGATTTCCAGTGTAATGAGTGAAAAGTAGTGATAATGAATTTCTCTTTTTGGAACTTAAGGGTAGTAATGCTCTGCTTTCTGTTAGCTTACTTTGGCCAGCTGGGGAAAGATGGCTTTAGTTTCCTAACTTGTTCAGATGTTGCCTGTACATAAGACTGGATTTGGTGTGAGTCCTGTCTGACAGAACATGTTACTGCCAGCTCTCTTCTTACAAGATCAATCATTCATTCAGCAGCTACTGACCTATAGCTAATTTGATCAATTCTAGTTTTCTCTTTCTATATACAATATTTTTCGCCCATTCCAAGTTCTATACCTGTAACAAATACTTGGAAATCATTGAGAGTTGTAGAAATCAGACTTTTCTTTGGTAGATACCTGTGTTTCAGACCTTAGATTTATACATATGTAATTCTGCATACTGTCTGGATGTCATGACGTGGAGAACGCTTGTTCTGTGTAACACCACAGCATAAACAGTGTGTAAGTAAAGCACAAAAGGGTGCAACTGACTGCATGCCACCTCCTAGTAGGTCAGCAGTTTGCTAAGGAAACGATAACCTATTCTTAGCTCACTTTAAACACGTCAGAACTTTGAAATATGTTGCTTTGCATCAGATAAAATGTAATTTTTCCAATTTGATGCTTATTGTTGTCTTGTCTTTTCCCAGGTATCCGATTTTGAGAGCTTTATTGGATCCCTAAATGACCAGGGTTACCTCTTGAAAAAAGGTTCAAGAGTTTATCAGCTTCAGACGATGTGAAAAGAGCCACTGCAATCAACTTTCTTGAGACATAACTGTTACATCTGATGGACCTGCAGGATGCTGAGCGCCCGCGGGCTTGCTTAAAGCCGCTGTAGGATAAACCGGCACATGGTATTGCTGCTCGATTCACCCTACAGGTCTGCTAGCTCAAAGGGGACTCTGTAAGACCAGCATGTACTTTGTCCTCCTTGAGGAGTGGAAAATACATTTTATATTGACATTATCGCAGTGCCACAACAGATTTTTACTTCTAAAAGAGACATTGGACCCACAAATTTAAAACCGGGAATCTTTTTGTGATAAGGTGATGCAAGTTGTATTTTTAGCACTGTAGTTCTTGAGAGGAATTTAAAGTACAAATGTGTTTCCAAAATGTTGGGACCCTTCAGGTTGAGACAACACAGTTTTACAGCTGTTAAGAAGTGTTGCTTTACTGGAACTGACTCCATTTTCTGCCTTGTATCTCTGTGTTTATTGGTCTTTGAAGCTGAGATTTTATTTGAAATGCAAGTCTGATTTAAGAAAACATCCTCATTACAATATTTAATTTGTAAAACAGGAATGAGATTTTATGTATGTCTTTCATTAAACGTTATGTATGAGAAATCTGTGATTTGTTCAGGAGTGTTACTCCGTAACAGTGAACAGGGGTGTGGGTGTTGATGGCCATTACAAGATACACAATGTGTTATAAATTGAGACCACAATGGATCATAATCCAATTATAATTTTATTAATTATAGCAAGTAGAATATGAGCAAAGACAGCGCTGGACGGCAGGGGAGTCTGCGCTCCGCCAACTGCCGTACTGATCAGTTCAAACAGTTCCTTTTTATACATTTTTACATCCGTGGTTGTCTTTGATCAGTACCCCTTCTGCTTGCACAAGTATCTGGTTTGTGTAAGCAATTGCGGTTATCTTATCTCACGCGGTCATCTTGTCTCACAGGTTATCTTGTCTCTCACAAGCGGTGTCTGGCAGCTATTTGCATAAGCAGTTTTTTTGTCTTTTGCCGCCTAACCTTTACATTGAGCTTAACATAAATTTCAATAAACAATACCCTTAGTTCATAGTTTCTTACAATCCCCCCTTTTTCTTTTATCCTATTATTGTTTATTAGATGCTACTTTCATTTTCGTCACTGCAAACAAACCTTTTTCCACAATTCCAACATTTATCATAACACTCTCAAGATAATACCTTACAATTACAATCATAGTTTTCACGTGGCATAACGCATTCACAACAATCTTTTCCACCAGGAAGCTCCTAATAGATCATCCCACCATTCTGAGTCTAACATTGAGGGTGTTTTCAGAGCACCATAGGTAAAACAGCTCTTATTCTATCTGCTATGTGCAGTTGTCGCCTTAATGTTTTTGCCGTGTGTTATTTATTCCTTGCTTTGTTCAGTTAATCCAACAAGTTGTGACCAACATGCAATTTGCTACTACTGTTTCACCTGTTGGCGTTAAGCAAATTCGAGCTGTGTGCCGAACTGCACAGTCAACCGTACTATCAGACACTCTGTAAACAATAATCAACAATTTATTAGCAAACAAGAACCTGAAATAATTAACTGTATAACAATCCAGCAAAGTCCCACGCGACACAATCAGAAAGAGAAAAAGTAAGAACCAAAGATATCAGCACTGTCCTTTGGATGTTGTCCTTCGATGTCTTGTTACCCTTACTCACGGGGCGGTAGCGATAGAAAGACAGAAAGAGTCCAAGAACAACAGTCACGCGCCGCGCGGTAACTCCTCTGATCAATAACATTTTCTTCTTTGAACTATAAGTCTGTTTCCATCACCTCATCAAGGTTTCGAGGGCGTCTTAGTTGTCTTCGTGATCTTGGAGGATTGGGGGGAGGAGGTGATCTCCGACACCAGCCACGAGACATTCCCTCGCATACCGCGATGGCAACGACAGTCACCACCAATATAATGAAAAATCCCAACAGCAGGGCGGCGCACACGGGATCGTCCCCTACTCCCATCTTCCCAAGATTGCAATCCAGCGGGATCAGTAAGATTAGTGGGATAGTCCAGCCCCAGGCTAGCGGCTTGACCGAGGAAGGTCCAAGTGCGCAATGAGCGGAAGTTTCTCTTCCACCCAGAATGCCTGTGCTGCCTAGATCTGGGCGGGCCTGGCAGTTGTTTTTGCCATCCGGGTATAGCCGAACTTTCGAGACCCTCCAACAACACATGCGCTTTGGACTGGGGGCGTGGAAATCCATCTTCCTGCTGTGTATGTGGACCCTGACTCCTGATCCCTACAGACCAGGCAGGTTCGCCACTCCCGCTCTCACTCTTGTACCTCCGATACCGCGAAAACAATGGAGCGTGCTTATGCATGGGCAGCAATTTATTGTGCAGCCTCGATGTTGGTAGCCCTCACTTTGTTTGCCTTTTTTACTACATATCTTTTGCCCTTGTAAATGTTCCTCTTTCAAGTACCCATGTAGTTGTATCTGCTTATGTAAACCACCATCTCCTTTGGTTAACCATGTTGAAAATTCTGTTATAGGTCTTTTCGGCGGTTTTGGTACTGGCTGTTTTACTTCTGTCACATCTTTTACTTGGATTCTCTTCTTCCTACTAAAATATCTCCATCCACCCTTCTGTCTTTGGGAAAGCAAAGCCACTCTCATGTTGGACATAACAGTAAAGCACTTGCTGCACAAATTTGCCACTATTAAAGCAAACCATACCAGGATGATTAGCAGAGGTCCGGTATAACATATACTCCCACCTCTCATGCCTATGGGGTTGCAGCCCACAGCTGAGAAAAAGGTCTTCTTGGTGGCGAGCACAGAGGTTAACCCGGTCTTGCCCTCTACTGTTTAACAAATCCGTGTGTTAAGAGTTAGTCAATTCAAGTGCAGCTCCTTTGTAGCCACTTCCTTTGTTTCTAAGCAAAGCAAAATTTTGGCACTTTCCGATAGTGTCCTCCCATCAACTCTCAGGGACATCACAAATTCTGGGGACTAACCTCTTTTTCCCCGTAAATCAAGGTTACAGTTCATGCCCCTTCCCTATACAGTTATAAGACAATTTTCTCCATCTGCAAGAAATACCACATCCGGTAACACATTTCACATTCACACAAAACCCACGCTTCATGACATCCATACATACACTCGAGACAAGGTATTACCCAATTAGGTTGATTTTCTAGCAATGCCTAATTGACTCCAAAATGCTCATAATCTGTTACCAAAAGCCACTCTGTAACATGTCTGTCAGTTAATGCTTGGTAAACTCCAGCTTTTCCCTGACAGTTTTTTTGTTTGTTTGTTTGTTTTTTTGTTTTTGTTTCCTTATACAGCAAGTAAGTAAATGAATAAGTAAATTTTCACAGTGTTACCTCTGAGCCCAGTTAAAAACCCAGTCAAACCACTGGTTAAGAGTCATTCAATCCCCTCCTGATGAATTTACTTAGTCCTTTGAGGGTGACTTGTAGTTGGTCAGTTGATGGTACCACAGTCCACTCCTGAGGCTTTTCCACCGGTCCTTTTCCTCAGGAGGCAAGAGTCCACCCCTTTTCTTTTGTTCGGATCGCTGTCTCGGTGGTCAGCAGCACCCGAAATGCACCTTCCCACTCGGGAGTTAATGATTAATCTTTCCACACTTTTATCAATACCCAATCACCTGGTTTTACATTGTGGATATTAAAAGCCAATAGTGGTATTTGAGGCAGAAGTCCTTTCTTTCTTAATTTCATTAAAGTGTTACCAATTCTTATTACATACTTTCTTACATATTGATCTCCTACTTCAGGGATGACAATATCCCTGTCATTACTCATACATGGTAATCCAAGCATCATTTCATAGGGAGAAATACCCAGGTCTGTTCGTGGCTGAGTATTGATCCTTAATAAGGCCAATGGCAGGCATTTAATCCAAGACATCTGAGTCTCAATCATTAACTTAGTCAAGGTTTGTTTTGAAGTTTGATTCATTCTTTCTCCTCTTCCAGAACTCCGAGGATGCCATGGGGTGTGCCATGCCCATTCGATCCCTAAGGCTTCAGATAGCTGTTGTATATAATTTTTAAAATTAAATGTGTTCCTCCGCCCAAGTCTATTCTTTCTATTAATCCATATCTGGGGATAATGTTTTCCAGTAACACCTTGGATACCATGCTTGCCATTGCCCTTGGTGTGGGGGATTGCTTCCACCCAATGAGTTAAGTGAGCCACTAATACCAACAAATACTTTCACCCTTGTATTTGAGGTAGCTCTGTTAAGTCTACCTGGAGGCTTTGTATGGCTAGCTCCTATTCCCCAGCCACCCTTTTTTTTTATCTCATTACCTTTTTGTTCACTTTTTAACAAATCAAACATCGATCAACTAGTTGTTTAGCCACCATATATATATTCCTATACACCCATATTGTCTAAGGAAATGATCACAAAGTGATTGTGTTCCCCAATGTATTTTCTAATGTATTAATGACAGAATTTCTCATGATCTGAATTTCTCATGATCTTGTTTTGTTTAACATCTGCCTTCCATCTGCTAAAGTCCATTTTCCTTCTGAATCTTTTCCCCCCTTATTTTTAAGTATATCCTTTTCTTGTTCTGTGAAATTTGGGGCTAAATTCTCATAATCCCCTGGTATTATTACCAATAAAACTACCAATGATGATTCTGTAGCTGCTTCTCTGGCTACTTAATCTGCTAAATTATTCCCCCTTATTTCCATTGATGCTCCCCTCTGATGTCCTTTCACATGCACAATTGCAATTTCTGTGGGGAGCTTCAGGGCTTCTAAAACTTCTCTGATCAGCCGCTCGTGTACTAGCTCCTTCCCTTTTGTATTTATAAGCCCTCTTTCTTCCCATATTTTTCCAAATGTGTGGACCACTCCAAATGCATACTTTGAGTCTGTGTACACTGTCCCTTCCTTATCTCTCAAATATACCAATGTCTGTTTTAGGGCATAGAGTTCACAGACTTGTGCTGACCACCCAGCAGGTAATTTCCCCTTTTCAAACACTTCCATCTTCTGCCTCTCGATAATTACATAACCCAATATTTTTCCTTCTAGGCATCGAGAGGACCCATCAATAAATAGTTTTTCTCTATAGGGCAAAGGTTTATTTAACAGATCTTCTCTTATTTTCGTTTGATAATTTATAAAATCCAAACAGTTATGCTCTGGTTCCTAAATATCCTCCCCGATTCTCCTCCCATAATTCTAGTAATTTAACCACTAGTTTTCCTTCACCCAGCACCACACCTATTCCTAATTGCACTTGTAAATCTCTACCTAGCAAATTACATCCTACCCCTGGCATTAACAACAAATCATTAACAGCATATTGATCTTCCCCTTGTATTAACACATTCTTTATAACTGGGACCAAAAACCCCTTCACCTTTAGCCCCTACAGCCCAAGTTGTATCTTTTACATAATCTTCCTCCTGGGGTCTTAATTTCAAATTTATCAAGGGCTCTTCTGTTGGTATATCCCCCAGGAGGTAGAGTCCCTGACACCCCTAGTGATTACCACCCTCATCCTGTTGGGTTACTTCAAACACCAACAGGTCCCGTATTCTCTGGGGGCATTCTTGTTTATAATGCCCCCCCTTCCCA